ACTTCTGCTAGCAATTTGTTTTCTATGTATCATCAATTTGACCGCACTTCACGCAGTGGTCCAAAGGTGCGGAAATAGATCATAACAAAACTTAACTCCGATAAAGACAAGTTGAAGCTTTCGGCGTTTTATTCACTCATGAACCTTGTTTACAGGCTTTTGTCAGTGAATATGCTGTGACTGGAAAAGATGCTGGTACGGGAAGCCTTCTCGCCTCTCTTGCAGAAGCTGCGTTTCTCATTGGTCTTGAAAAGAATAGGTTTCTTACAAATTTCTTTGATCTCAGCTAAAAACATCAAAATAAGTAAAGCATCTGATGATTTTCTTTGTTGCAGTGACATTGTGGAAATGGCAAGTTATGCACCACTCTTTGTGAACACAAATGATAGACGGTATCTCTCACTTACTTTCCACTTTTTTTTCCGTTCTAATGGTAACTCAGGAAGATAAGGCCATAATCTCAAATTCTTGAATTTGGTTTCAGGTGGAACCCTGATGCAATAGTCTTCAATTCCTCTCATCTATATGGAACTCCAAGCTATTGGGTGCAACGGTTCTTCGCAGAGTCAAGCGGAGCAACTCTTCTCACTTCAACACTCAAGGGAAACTCAACTTCTCTTGTCGCATCTGCAATCTCTTGGGAAAACAATGGCAAAGATTACATACGCATCAAGGTAGTAAACCGAGTGAAATATCCGCAGAAACTTTCAACCTGAACTCTGATGCTGACCCCAAAAACTTGCAGGCTGTAAACTTCGGAGCTAACTCAGTAAATATGAAAGTGTTGGTAACTGGATTAGACCCGAACGTGATGAGAGTTACAGGATCAAAGAAGACAGTACTTACATCTACCAATGTGATGGATGAAAATTCCTTCTCACAGCCAGAGAAGGTAAAAAATCAAAAAATGGACCATCACAAATTTGAGTTTTCCTTTGTTCTTAGTGATTAAATCTAATTCGATTTTTGTTTGCAGGTTGTGCCACATGAAAGCTTGCTAGAGATGGCAGAGGAGGATATGACCGTTGTTCTCCCGCCACATTCCTTTTCTTCATTCGATTTGCTGAAGGAATCTGCAAAGATTAAAATGCCAATTTCTGATTCTTCTTCCCATCAGAAAACTACCACTGTGTGAAGAGAAACAATGACAAAGGAAGTATCGCTTCATGTCAAAAGTCTCTTTGTGGTTAAAATCTAATTACATTTTATAATTTAAATGCATAGAACGTACCCGTGTGTATAGATAATAACAGTTTGGTGAATAAAGTTACTTTCTTTAATCATGTGCTTATCTCGACTCTGGATAACTTGATGATATGCAAGAATGATGTAACAACAGTTTCTTTCTTCTAAGCATAAAGGAGAAGCCGATGCATGAAATAGGGCTGGGCCATTTTATTTCCTTTACTGGGCTTTTTAAAGCCCATCATAATCTGAATTTGAATTTGTTGGAGCAAAACAAATAAAAAATGGCGAAACTGAAGAACACACGATTCCTGCGATCTCTCCTATTGGCCTTGGGTTTTGATATTAGATGGGTTGAGATGGTGATGGTTTGTGTCTCCACTGTCTCTTACACGGTGTTGATTAATGGACAACCTCATGGTCTTGTTGTCCCTCAACGTGGTCTTCGTCAGGGAGATCCTCTTTCCCCTTTCTTGTTTGTGCTTTGCACGGAGGGATTAACTCATTTGCTGAACAGAGCAGAGCAACAAAGTCTTATCAATGGTATGCAGTTTTCTGATGATGGTCCATCGATCCATCATCTTTTATTTGCAGATGATACTTTATTTGTTTGCAAGGCGGTTGAGGCTCAAGTTGCTGTTATTCACAATATTCTTGAAATATATGGTAAAGCGACGGGACAGTACATTAACAAGGACAAGTCTTCTGTCACTTTTGGTACCAAGATTTCTGAGGATGTAAAAGCGCGGGTCAAAACAGCTCTTGGGATTAATTCTGAAGGTGGTGCTGGTTCCTACCTTGGGTTGCCTGAATGTTTTAGCGGATCTAAAAAAGACATGCTTGATTACATTCATGAGAAGCTAAAAAATAGGCTTTCAGGCTGGTTTGCAAAGACTCTTTCTCTTGGTGGAAAAGAAATTCTTCTCAAGACAGTGGCAATGGCTATGCCTGTTTATGCCATGTCTTGTTTTAGGCTTCCAAAAGGTACATGTGAATCTCTTTCTAGCGCTATGTCTGCTTTTTGGTGGAGTTCTTTAGAGAATCAGAGAAAGATACATTGGATTGCATGGGACAGAATGTGTTTGACTAAGGAGCAAGGTGGTCTTGGTTTTAAAGATCTTGCTCTTTTTAACCAAGCTTTATTGGCCAAGCAAGCTTGGAGATGTTTGCAGGCTCCTGACTGTCTATTTTCCAGATTCTTAAAGAGCAGATATTTTCAGGAAACTTCTCTACTTCATGCTGTAGCTGGGAATAGACCATCTTTTGCTTGGAGAAGTCTCTTGTATGGCCGTGAACTTCTGCAGTTGGGTCTGAAACAAATGATTGGTGATGGAGCTTCTTTGAAGGTTTGGACTACCTTATGGCTTGATGACATCCGGATGCGCGCTCCTCTTATGAAAAATATCCTTGTGGACCTGGAGCTCTCTGTTAAGGATCTCATTGACCAGGAGACAAGAACATGGGATCCGGGTTTGTTGGATGAGCATTTCTTTCCTAGAGATGTTGAAATCATTCTCAAAATTAAACCTGTTACTTCTTCCCCAGATTTTTTCAGCTGGAAACACAACAAAAGTGGGGATTATAGTGTTAGATCTGGTTATTGGTTGGCTTGTCAGGAGTACAAGAAAGAGGAGATCAGTTTTGCCTCTCAGCTGCCTTCTTTAAACGGTCTGAAGGATCAAATCTGGAAATTATTAGCTCCTTCTAAAATCAAGATTTTCATTTGGAAGGTTGTTAGTGGCGCAGTCCCGGTGGCAGATTCTCTTATCTCCAGAGGTATGAAAGTGGACCTGAGATGTCAGATTTGCGGAGCTGAAGGTGAGTCTACTAACCATATCCTGTTTGCCTGCCCGTTGGCTAGGCAAGTTTGGGCATTATCAGGTTTCCCTTTTCCTGAAGACGGGTTTGATCAGTCTTCCATTTACCAGAATATGCACTTAGTTCTCTCGCTGGCCAAAGAAAATCGGCTTCAACTTCAAACCAGAAGGTCTCTTCCCTGGATTTTTTGGCTTCTCTGGAAAACCAGAAACAATATGGTCTTTGAAAGTAAGGTTTTCTCAATTTCTAACTTGATGGAGAAGATTAAAGAGGACTCTGATGAATGGTTTCTAGCCCAGGAGTTTGACGCCTTGCACGAGAACAGTTCTTCATCTATTGTGCTTTCTCAAACTGCCAATTGGCGCCCTCCTGCAAAACCGTGGCTAAAGTGTAATGTAAGTGCTGTTTGGGACAAAATTCAAGGTTTGTGTGGTGTGGCTTGGGTTCTTCGAAACTCTTTTGGTAATGTCCTCCTCCATAGCAGACATTCCTTTGGGCAATCTTTGTCTAAAGATGAGGCTGACTTACAAGGTTGTCTATGGGCTATGGAGAGTATGAAAAGCTTACATGTGCCTCGTGTTGTTTTTGCTGTGGAGTCCAAGTTGATTGTAGGTGCTATTTCTAGACCTGCGGCATGGCCTAGCTTCAAAGCTCAATCCGAAGCTCTCATTCTCGCCCTTTCCTACAGCCCTTTTTGGAAATTTGTTTTAGAGGACCGCAAAGCTAATCAAGGTGCTTTCCTAATAGCAAAGAGTGTCACAATGGAGGACCGATCGCAATCATATGTAGCTCAAGGCTACCCTTTTTGGCTTCAGAATGTGTTTGAATTTGATAAATGCTTTACTTAATTGTAATGAGTTTCTGTAGTTTGATTGCCCTCGGTCCCTTTTGTAATTGTGAACTTTGTGTTCTTTTATCTTATGAATCATTCAGACGAAAAAAAAAAAAAAAGAACACACGATTCAGATTTTCGAAATTGAATTTGTAGTCAGTCTCTCTCGTATATAAACTTCCTCGCTCTTCTTCCATTTCAAATCTCTCTCTGTGTAGTCAAAATTAGGGTTTATTCAATCCAAAGGAAGAGTATTTTTCGAGAATTCTGTAGTCGAAAATCAAGATCATGTCGGCATCAACGGTGTCAATCACCGCTAGTCCTACGAGGGCAATTAGGCGGACGCCGGTTCTCTCCGGTGAGAATAAATCCAATTTTGATTTCCCGCCGAGCGAATCTCATGCCAATGCGGCAATTGGAGAGTCTTCCGCTGGTACGAACAAGGATCTGATTCGCTCCGAGGCTGCCGCTGAGAGATCTAACACCTACGACGTCGGTCCTGTGACTAGGAAATCGGGATCCACCGCGACGGGCACTAATACAACCACCACGCAGCGTCGAACGCGGAAGTCTCAGGGGAATAAGACAGATAAGGGGCAGTGGAAGACAGTGGTTAGGGTATTCGCGAAGCAATTTGGGGCTCTTTTGTTACTTGTTGGATTGATTCAATTGATTAGGAAATTGACTTTGAAGGATTCGTCTCTATCTGCTTCTAATTTCCCAATTGAAACGGAAATGGTGCTTTCGGAATTGGAGAGTCGGATTTCGGCTGTTGATGGTTTGGTAAAGACTACTACGAAGATGATGCAGGTTCAAGTTGAATTTCTTGATAAGAAGATGGAAAGCGAATCAAGAGCATTGAGGCAGACGATAGATTCCACATCTTCTGTGTTGCAGAGTTGGTTGAAGAAGGTAGAGTCTAAGACGGAGAGATTGCAGGTTTCCGTAGATGAGTTAAATGCTAAACCTTTGGTGTCTAGAGAGGAATTAGAGAGAGTTTACGAGGAGTTGAAGAAGGGTAAGGTCGGTGATTCTGATCTTAACATTGATGAATTGAGGGCTTATGCTCGTGACGTAGTGGAGAAAGAGATTGGAAAGCATGCCGCTGATGGCCTTGGCCGAGTAGACTATGCGTTAGCGTCTGGTGGGGCTTTTGTAATGGGGCATTCGGATCCGTTTCTTGTTGGAAGTGGAGGTAATTGGTTTCGGACAAGCAGGCGGCGGGTTCATAGCAAAGCGGTTAAGATGTTAACTCCGAGTTTCGGGGAGCCTGGACAGTGTTTTCCTCTGAAAGGAAGCAATGGCTATGTTCTAGTCAGGCTAAGAGCACCAATAATTCCAGAGGCCGTTACCTTGGAGCATGTCTCTGAGGTAGTAGTAGTACTAACATCTCAATACTCTTACTTTCACAGAATCATCGATTTCTATATGTTAATTTGAGCCCTTAAGAAGGGTTCTCTGTTAAATGTTGTTGGTATTGAGTTGCCATGTACTTCGGATTGGATTGCTGGTGACAATGGATTATCGAATAGAGGGCAAGAAACTAGTTTTGTGAATTTGAGTTCTTATAGCTTGAGTTTTAGTTTAGGCACTAGCTGTGAAAATATGCATTGAGAAGGGTTTTACCGTATGTTATTTTCTGCAAATCACTAGCTTTAGCAATTCCTTTGTCTAATGTCAACTATGCCACTGTGTTCTTGTGCTTTGTTTGAGATATCGTTGACAGAGAAAAGAACCGTACATATGGGAAGAGCTTGTAAGTTTACAATTAGTGGAACTGTAATATTCAGAGTCTAGGGATATCGTTAGGAAACAGTAGCAGAAGGGAAATAGTCTTATTGCTTAGAGAGTGTGTAATGTGATGGTCACACATTGCTTTCCATCATTGTTCATCCTTGTAATCATTTGTCTGATAAATTTCTTCTAGTCTGACCACTAAAAGGCATTACTGATCTTACGGTTATGTTATGCACCATTTAATCGAGCAGGCTGTAGCGTATGACAGATCGAGCGCCCCAAAGGATTGCCGGGTATCAGGATGGCTAGGTGACATAGATATGGAGACTGAAACCATGCCCATTCTTACAGAATTCAGTTACGACTTAGACAGGTCCAATGCACAGACATTCGACATTGCAGAGTCTGCTCATTCGGGACTTGTCAACACTGTCAGGCTAGACTTCAATTCCAACCATGGAAGCTCTTCACACACTTGCATCTACCGCTTCAGGGTTCATGGCTGTCAACTAGACTCAGTCTCTGTTGTTCATGCTTGATCTGAAGTCCACGTGAAACTTTTCTTCTATTTGTAACAATTCCCTCTCATAGATTATCTCTCTTTTTTTTTGTTAGTTTGTGTGGTGGGAAAGCTTCTAGTCTGTAATCAGAATCATTTGGTTGTATTCGTGCTTATTAGTTTTCAAATCTGTTTTGG